CCTTCAGAATGGGAAAAGATATTTGCAGGGTGTCAATCTGACCTAGAGTTGATTACTAGAATCTACAGAGAACTCAAATTAGTCATCAAAAAAAGAGTAAACAATCCCATCTACCTCTGGGCAAGAGATGCAAGGGGACGTGTCAAATCTATTAAATGTAGAGTATAAATGTCTTAACACAATAAGTAAGTGAGGTGAAGGTTATTGTTAACTAGTTTGATGAAAGCATTCCAAGTTGTATATAAAATCAGCACATTGTACCCCATATATGCATTAATGTATATAGTTACGATTTAATAAAAATTTTAAAAAATTAAAAATAAAAAAAGAACCTTCTTTTAGGAAGACAGATAAATGGCTAACAAACATTTGAGAACATTAGGATTCATCATTCCTAATCATCAGATAAATGCAAACCAAAACCACTTTGGGATACTACCTAATACCAGTGAGAATGGCCCACATCCCAAAATCTCAAAGCTGCAGATGTGGAGAGAAGGGAACACTTACACTGCTGGTAGGACGGCAAACTAATACAACCTTTTTGGAATGAAATATGGAGAATCCTCAAAGAACTAAAATTCAATCTCCCATTTGATTGAAATCCCATTACTAGTCATCTACCCTGAAGAACAAAAAAATCCTTTTATCATAAATACATTTGCACTAGACTATTTATTGCAGCTCAATTTACAATCACCAAAATGTGGAAACAACTGAAGTGCCCACTAATCCAGGAATGGATTAATAAGCTGTGGTATATGTATACCATAAAATACTATTCAGCCATGAAAAAATATGGAGACTTTACATCTTTTGTATTAACCTGGATGGAGGTGGAACACAACTTCTTAGTAAAGCATCACAAGAATAGAGAAGCAAGAATCCAATATATTCAATTCCAATATGAATGCAGTAGATGACCTAATACAAGGTGGAGGGTAGGGGAATTAGGGACAAGGGAGCGGGGAGAAGGAAGGGGAATGGGGATCACAGTGTATGGCACACTTCTTGGGGGCAGACACAATTTCAAGAGGGACTTTATCTAATTACAGCCACCAATGTAAACTTATTCTTTGTACCCTCAATGAATCCCAAACATGAAAAAATATATAAATAAAATAAAATGGATAGCATAGGGAACAAAAACATTCCAAAAATAGTGTAATCAAAATTAGTTTAAAAATATTTAGTTTAAATGTTAAGTGAATGAACAAAAGAGATAATTATATGGCTGTTATTTTATGAATAGGAATAATCCTTTGCTACTGTTAGTGACAGTGACATCCTTTTAACTACCTATATGCCTCTTACCCTTCGCATACACATTTATGCTACCTATATATTCATACCTACGTGCACATATCAGCATATACATAATAAATATATATGGTAAAATTTATTTTATTTTCTTATCAAAATGGAAATTATATTGTACTTTAATTATTTGCTGCCATTAGTTATTTATATGAATTAAATTAATTAGTTAATTATCAAATTTATTAAGCCCATCAATTTATATATAATTTATGATATTTAATATATTTAATATATCATTTATGATATATTAAATTATATGTATAATCATCAATGTGATCTGACCCACACTAATTTTTATACTCACCTACTTGAGCAATAAGCAGGCTATTAATTGTTGAGGATTTTTTTTTTTTTTGCAGTTTTTTTTTTTTTCTTTTTTTGTGGCCAGGGCTGGTTTGAACCCACCACCTCCAGCATATGGGGCCAGCACCCTACTCCTTTGAGCCACAGGCACCGCCTAGTTGTTGAGGAATTTATAAAAAAATTATTTTGAATTAATACAAGGGTACAAATGATTAGATAACAATTAAGCTAAAAATCTAAACTTTTCTCAAAATCTTGTATAATACCCATAACAGATGAGTTTATATTTTCCTAAGAAACATGCTCACTGTATACATTAAGTCAACAATGCATTTTGACAGAGGATGTTTCTTTCTTTTTTTTTTTTTTTTTTTCAGAGACAGAGTCTCACTTTGTTGCCCTTGCTAGAGTACTGTGGCATCACAGCTCACAGCAACCTCCAGCTCTTGGGCTTAGGCTATTCTCTTATTTCAGCCTTCCAAGTAGCTGAGACTACAGGTGCCTACCACAACACCTGGCTATTTTTTTATTGCAGTTTGGCCAGGGCTGGATTCAAACCTGCCACCCTGAGTATATGGGGCTGGCGCCCTACTCACTGAGCCACAGCTGCTGCCCGGGATTATTTATTACTATGTTGGAGTTTTCCATCTTCGGTGATAAGAAATATTCTAAAGGAAGAACAGTCTTGTTAGTTTTGAGAATGAGCTTTCAGCTCTTTTTAATTGGGAGGCATCAGGCAATTGTTTAAAAAAAACCCAAAACCTCGGTTTTGAAAGGCCCTTGACATGAGAACAACAGGCATAAAATTTTTCCTCTAGAGAGTTTAATAAAATACACTCAGGCCTTTGTTATGAAGAGCCCAGGAACAGCGATTGGATTTGCATTCATCAAATTCCTTGTTCCAAAAAATAGGTACATAATTAGACTTTTAAAGCTGCTTGAATTTATTTCAAATGTGTAAAAATGGTCAGTGCAAGGGAAATCATGGCAAGCATAATGTATCTTGTTTTATCTGAAGCAAATTACTGTGTTGCCTGGTAATAGGATTGTACCTTAAATTCTGAGAACAATGATCTCTAAGTCTTTTGAAGAATATTTTCACTCATCATACAGGAAGGTCCTCTTTGTTCAACTGTATCTGGAGAGGAAGACTATATAATCTTATGTTTTTTTCAGTGGATATATGCTATACAGATTATACATATAAGCTCTAGATGAATATGTATAACATCTGACAGATATATATAAACAGCTTTTCATTTAAAATTTAGCAATTCAGTGATCCTTGCTAGAAGTTTACCAGCAGTCATTTTTGAGCATTAATGAAATGAATGTGCTTTGAAAATATTACCATGTGGGCAGGGGAGATCTAGCATGTGGCGATATCCACATGTCACACCCCCAATCTTAGTTTGTCTTATGCCCATGAACTGTTGATCTTTTGGACGTAAGAGCAACGTAATTGATCCCTATAATTGAAAATCAAGCCCCCCCCCCAAAAAAAAAGACAAAGCAAGTGTCTGCCTAATGTGTTTCCAAAAGAGTTCAATGATGTGCTGAGGGATCGCGGAGTTAGTCAGGTCCTCTGGGCACTGGGAGAGCACGTGGGAGTGTCCATATCAGGAGAGTAAAGAGTCGGGCTAGGCTGGCATCCACCAGGAGCCCCCGGGGACCTCTGCCTCCCAGTCTTCCCCCTCCCTAGAAGCCACTTTCCTTTCTCCAGTCTCCATTCCCGCTGTTCCAAAGCCAGGCGGGGAGGGTGAGGATTGGGCACCAGCGGCTGTGTCCCAGCTTCCCCTTCCTGATGCTGTGCTGTGATTTCCCCCATGAGACACCTTCCTCTCTCATTCTAGTTAAGGTAGGAAAGTAAAGGTATCTTGAGAACTTACTGATGCAAGAAATATGGTGACTGAAAACATGTAGTTATCAGCACCCAGGGAGTCAGATAATCACCTTGCCAACTTTCCCCTTAAAAGATTGTGGTCCACGTCCTAGACTACAGTGATACCCAAGAACCTTGGTGTCTCGATGCCCTTTAGGGTGTTTGAGATTTTATCATCTCTAACTTTGGGGAAGGGTCTATAGTCTCATCCTTCTTCTGGTTTTTCATCATCTGTCATTTTACTAGCCCAGGGTTTCTGGACAATTGGTATTCAGACTGTCCAATTGTACTCATACTTTTCCTAAATTGAATATTTTGGTTCTTTCAAAACTTATATGAATTTGATCAACTCTAGGTAGGAAATGGCCTGGCCAATGGTGCTGTGAAGCAAGAGAGTCTTAACAACAGTTAGTAGATTTTTACTGGATAAAAATCAGCCCATTTGAGGAAACATGAAATGGTACCTCAGAACTTTATCCAGCTGAGGATATTCTTGGCGGATGCGTCTGTTGGGAACACGTTGACAGTGGAGGCCAGAGACACAGACATCACTTCTGGGCAATGCTACATATGATAGGAAACCTTCAAAATGTTTCTTGTGAACATGTTTCTAAGGGAAGCTGCCACATTAAGCATTCAGTTGTGTGTGTGCCTTTATACAGAAGCCCCACAGGGAAGTGGACACCTAAAACTTCCTCTATAAAAGGAAACCAAGAGTTTCTGATTCTTAACGACTTTCCCTGTTTTATTATTTTAATTCTTCTGAAGGCAGTTCATAAGCCTGGCTCCTATAAGGATGAGAAGATTGTCTCAATGCGTAAAAGAGATGCTGGGCCTTTTAGCCGTGGAAATGTTTCTTTCCTTGGGGACAAACTGTTACTGTACCAAATGCATATCTCTAATTTTAAAAATCCAGGAAAGGAATGATTAAAGTTATTAGAAGATGTTTACTGACCCAAGTAGTACATTTTCCTCAAAGATTTTGTGCCGTTCCTGTTCCCATATGTTAAAAAGAAGCTTGACATTTACATCATTGTACAGTCCCTAAGGTACGTTTAATCACAGCAACAGGGAAAAAGCTAATGGCCTTGATTATGAAAATGTTATACTTTTTTATATTCTCCATTTTAGTAATACTTTCTGTTAAATGTTGAGGACTTCTTTTGTTTCACGTGTGGAGCCCTGTACTCTACCCCATCATCTCTTACTCTGGTGATGGAGAAGCTTATCTGGGCAGGTAACCAGCTTTAGAGAAGTGAGTAAGGGGGTCCAGGACAATCGTCTGTGGCTCCCCAGGCAGGGCTTCAGTCTGGTGTTCACCTTTGCGCCAATTACCAGCTGCAGGTGGTGTACACTTCAGAGGACAATTTGCTTTTTAGACCAGATTTCCATGTTGGTGTTCTTTGCAGTATTTTTTTTCTGAGTGCTGGCCCAGGGAAAGGCACTGGCCTGGCTGTGTGTCTAATCACTTATATGTGTGTTTGCATGCCCACAGCACCTTACTGCAGCTTGGCCCTCAGCCTGAAGGATGGTGGCATTGTAAACAGGACCGCAGGGGCAGTTGGAAGTCAAGTGCATTATTTTTGCAAGCCTGGGTACCGACTGATCGGCCACAGCAATGCGAGCTGTCGACGGAACCCGCTCGGCACGTATCAATGGGACGCCCTCCCACCACTCTGCCAGGGTAAGCAAGGTGCCTCTCAGCTCCACTTGGTCTCTGTCTATCATCTTTATTCTAGTCACATGCTGAAAATAAGTGAAGCAGGGACTAAGGATAAAAGGTAAGAAAAATTGAGTGTTGCTTTAAACAGGACCGACTCAGCTTCTGGCTGACCATGAGGACATTTCTGACATTTGTACCGAGCTTGATGTAGCTCTAGCCCCAAAAGCAGAGGATGGTGGACGTTCGCTGGATTCTGGGGACAGTGATTCTAATACTTCCTTGTGCACCAGGTTGAAGTAATAAATGTGGCCTCTGATTATGATTCAAAATATTATTTCTTGACAATTGCATTAATTAAAAAAAAATCCATTACTGAAAACTCATTTTTCCTATTTTGTTTAAAAACTCATTCTTTGGATCATAAACCCTGTATTTGCTTTTTTTTTTTTTTTTGGTTATTTAAATTTAGAGCTTGTTAAAGTTGACATTAATATTTCATGCTTTTTTTTTGCATTTTATCTATCACGTTCATTAAAAAAATAGGTTTCCAAATACGGCATTTTAACTGAAGGCTTCGAAGGCATGAAATTTTCATAGTTTTGTCTTATCAAGGTTTATATTCATAATGTACTATATTAGTCGTTGAAAGCTAATTATGATTTATGAGTTCATTTCTTGTTAACAGGTAATAGATTTTTTGGTATTTGCTTATAAGGCAGTGATAGATCCCTATCAGACTTCTTGTATGTATCTTTAACCATAAGAAGTCAATCAGATATTTGTATTATTTACATTTTAAAATCAGAAATTCATTTTTAATATTAAATGAAGGTGAAGATAGATCCAAGAAGCTTATCTTGTTAGGAATAGTTATTTTTTTTTTCTTTTTCAGTGGAAGAATACTTCTCATTTGCTTTAAGTGATCTCTGAGTGTGTTTGTCCCTCCAGCATTGCTGAAGAGAGCTCACCTTCCACTCAGGGACCACCAGCTGGGCTCTGTCTCATTGACATTGAGACCAGAAAGCCAGTGACAAAGTAGGAACCCAAAGAGCAATCTGGAAACAGGCAGGGGATTAGAGCAGGATGGTCAGGTTCAGTCTGGAAACAGGCAGGGGATTAGAGCAGGATGGTCAGGTTCAGTCTGGACACAGGCAAGGGATTAGAGAAGGATGATCAGGTTCAGTCTGGACACAGGCAAGGGATTAGAGAAGGATGGTCAGGTTCAGTCTGGACACAGGCAGTAGATTAGAGCAGGACAGTCAGGTTCAGTCTGGACACAGGCAAGGGATTAGAGCAGGACGGTCGGGTTCAGTCTGGACACAGGCAAGGGGTTAGAGCAGGACGGTCAGGTTCAATCTGGACACAGGCAAGGGATTAGAGCAGGACGGTCAGGTTTAGTCTGGACACAGGCAAGGGGATTAGAGCAGGACGGTCAGGTTTAGTCTGGACACAGGCAAGGGATTAGAGCAGGATGGTCAGGTTTAGTCTGGACACAGGCAAGGGATTAGAGCAGGACAGTCAGGTTCAGTCTGGACACAGGCAAGGGAAGTCTTAGCAGTTTGGCTGAGGAACTTGAGGAATCGTGGTCACTGTGTCTCTCCCTCATGTGGAACATTATTGAGAAGCAAGCAGTTGTGGGCATGGGATCCTGGAGCCAGATGGCATGTTCTGTAAAAACTGTTAGAATATCTTCTTTCATATTTCTTCTCAGAGATGAAAGACCTTTGTGAATTTCTTCTCAGATTATGAAGTATTTTAGTAATATCATCGTTCTGAAACAGACTCACCATTTCCTACACTTTCTGCTAACCTTTCCGATAACCAGATAGTTAATATGATCTTGTTCTTTCTTCATAAATTTTGACCTTTAAAACCTGGAGGGATCTTAAAAACAATCTCACAGAAGTACTTGTTTTTATGTTTTTGAGACTTGGACACATAAAAGTTAAATGACCTAATAATCATAAAAACCTTGGTCCAGAATCTAATCCTCTTGCCTGCCTGGTTAGTATTTAAGTGAATGGCTTCTTGCCAAAAGAAATCCTACTTAGAGCAGAATGTTTGAAATATGAATTTTGAAATTAATCTACATTTTAAGGGCTTAAATTCATTTACTGTGGGAGAGTTCTTTTCCTCATCTCTTAGATAGCTATAAGTTGTGTGAATAGGGTTGTAATTATAACATAAAAATATTTTCATATATGGGAGGTTGTAGTTATTAAGATAAAACAAAACTGATGTAGAAAGTAGGATTTTTTTTAATCATTGAGTTTAATTGTGGTGCCATCAAATAAACATTGTTACCATTTTAAAAGTAACATTGAACTTCTCAAATAAATTGTAAAACTTACTAGTTGGATATATAAACACCACTGAGAACAAGCTATAAAAGCTTAAATAGCAAAAAGTTATCTATAACCCAGATTGGCAACTCACACTGAAAAGGTCATTTGCTTATTCTTAAAGAGGCATTAAAGTTAATTTAACTGAATTTAATACAAAACGTACATGTGACTGCTGCAGTCTGTACTGAAGGGATGTTTGATTTATTTAGTATTACCTATTCACTTTCCTGTTGTTCCTTACACAATGCAGAACTTTCCCATAATGTAAATACTCTCAGAAGTTGTAGCGAGCCTTGGGTTCATTCAGCACAGTTAGGAAGAGACTCTGGGGCCCGGCCTTCGTCCCTTCTGTGATGACCCATCCAGGATGAGCTGTGCATGCCGCACTAGAAATGTCCCATCAACCAGCAAATGTGTTGAGCGGTTGTGTGGGCTAGTTGCTAAAGAAACAGAGTAAATGAGACTTGTTTCTTCCCAAAGGACTCATGCAGAATCACGCAAAACAGAATCACTGATTACGATAACTGCCGTCATGAATGCTAGACCTAGAATATGCATTTGGATGTGAGGCTGTACAGAATGAATTACACAGAATCCTTCCTGATGTGCCGGTAGAATTCTTTTCGGGTGAAAAATTTTATCTCATCAATTTATTTCATTGACTAAATAAATCAAATCTCCCTTCAGCACAGACTGCAACAGTCACATGTATGTTTCGTATCAGTTAAATCAACTTAAATGCTTCTTTAAGAATAAGCAAGAGACCTTTCGTGTAAGTTGCCAATATGGGTTATATAAGACACATGATGAGAGAACATTTTTCAATAGTTGTGAGTTCAAAAGTTATTTTTAGTGTAAATGTGAAAACACTTCTGAAACGAGAAGGCACTATGGATTGTCGTAGATTTGTTGCTGTTTTCTTTCAGTGCTAACAAACAGTAAGGAAAACCTATTTTCTATTGAGTTGTTGGTATCTTGTTAGTTATTTAATGTCTAATGATAACATGTGACTTTTAGAGAACTTTTTATTTTCAGTTTTAAGATGGCTGAAGATTGTGTTCAATATTTTTCAAAAAAAATCCTTCATTTTTGTGCAACAAGCTAACATATGTCAATGAATTATCACCTCCTTTATGATCCAGATTTGCTGACAGTTCAGGCTCTATGCTGTGAAGTCAAAGACTGGTGACCTCTGTCTTTGAAATATTTGGAGCTCTACAGGGGAGAAGCAATTTTCAGTAATGTTGGATCAGTGGCTGGAGTGTCACACTCCTCCCACTCAAGTCAGCACAGAAGTCTTTCATGATTTTATTATATCTTTGCATATATTGCATTTACCCTAATGTATAAAACCAGGAAATGATAATTGCCATGCGGCAAAATTACAGGGATATGAGTTTAACTCTGAATCCTTTAGGCTTAAAATGCACTATCCCAAAAAAAAAAAAAAAAAAAAAAAAGGTCCACGCAGAGAGTATGTTGTGAAGAGCGTGTGTCCCGTGTGATTTCTGTGATTTCCTCACAGGCGAGGTGATGCACTTCAGGTGTCACGTTTGTGGATCAGGGCTGTCATTTCAGATCTCAAGCCTAACACAAGGACCGAGAAAGACACGTCCACCTTCATTTCAGCTCAAACTTACCTCTGAGTTGGGCACTGCAGCTGCCAAGATAGATAAGACCTATTCCCAGCTCTCAAAGTTCTGGTCACTGTGAAAGAGAGACTCAAAAGCTAATGGTCACAGTTCAGGGTGACAGTGAGCAAGAGGAGATAGTCACGGAGCAGAGGTAGCCCGGAGGCCAGGAGAGGTCCCTGCTGGGACATTCCAGCTGAGATTTGAAGGGCGAGTGTCATGGGAGGACACAGGGTTGGGAGAGTGAGCATGGAGGGCATTGAAAACCCCAACTCCAAGCATCCATGGCTCCACTTTCTGTCCTGTGGTTGACATGAACCCCTTCCAGGCAAAAGAGATCAAATCCTATCTGCATCTTAGAAAGACAGATGCTTGGTGGTTTGAGGGTTGATTGAAGTGAACCCTGTCTAGAAAACAGGGTGTGTAGGACACAGAGAGACATATGTTTGAGCAACATAATACAGTGAACTTGGGTTTCATAAGGAAACAAAAACTGAGCAGACCTAGGAGTTAGCAGAGAAAGAAATGTGGGGTGACATTTTTTGTCTTGTTTTTGACTGCTGGGAGTATTTGGTGCCACTCACTGCAATAAGGACAATGTGAAGTAAAGGAGGCTTCGGGAAGTGAGCTGTGACTTGCTATGCTCCAGATGCTTGTGGACAAGCTCTTCACAGGGGAATATCTGGTGCTGAGACAAGGTGAAGTTATCAATAAGGAGGCAGAAGATTAAATTGGTTTAAGATCCTAGGTGCGTCATTCTTTATTTTATATGAGATGTATGACTTCATAAATTCTGTAAGGACCAATTCAAATGAATAACATTGTAATGTGCAGGTAATTAAAAAGAATGCTTTCTGTGGCAATAAATTTTAAACTGGACAGCTCGACCATAAAAAGGGTAATCTCTGAGACTCTGACAAGAGATCACATTTGGTCAAAAGCAGTTATAAATCCTGCAATAAATCATGTAGAATGTCTTTAGATAATTGGGAATTTACTAATGTGTAAATGTTGAAATATTTTAAGGCCTTCACCAACTTTATAG